AAAGGCCTTGCTGAAGTCCAGAAAGACTACGTCCACAGCCACACCTGCATCCAATGCTTCTGTGACTTGATCATAAAAGGCAATCAGGTTGATCTGACATGACTTGCCCCTAATGAAACCATACTGATTGCCCTTGAGTATCATCCCTGAAGCCGGCACATCACAGATGTGCTCCTTGATGATCTTCTCAAAGAGTTTCCCTAGGATTGAGGTATGACTGACGGGCCTATAGTTGCCTGGGTCCTCCCTTCTCCCTTTTTTTAAAGAAGGGGACCACGTTGGCTATCTTCCAATCATCCGGTACCTGGTCCAAGCACCACGAGCACTCGTAAAGCCGTGCCAGGGGTCCTGCAATAACCCCTGCTAGCTCCCTCAACACCCTGGGGTGGAGAGCATCTGGACCCACTGATTTGAACATGTCCAGCCCCTCCAGAAGCTCTCTAACCCGGTCCTCCCCAACCTGAGGTCTGGAGGCATTCCCCTCAAGTCCGTCTTGCATCACGGTGGGGAAGTCCCAGTCCCCGCACAAGAAAACAGAGGTGAAGAATTGGTTAAAGGTCCCTTTCAACCCTAATTTTTTATGATTCTACAGTTCAGATAAATATTTCACCCACAGTCCCATGATACAGAACAGATAGAGAAATGTGAAGCCATGGCATTTAAGTTCATTTGTCAAACATGAAATAGTGGACTTAATCATTTGCCACATTACAGAGCATTGGTTAACTGATTTTGCTCAAAACCAGGGACTGTCTTATCTATCTAGATATATCTACAAAACAGTCTGGTAATGTAACTGCTTTGCCAGGATCCCAAGCCTGCAGTGGGCAGCCCGCCCCCACCCCATGCACAGATCTATAGGGCACATGGTCCCCCTTTCCCCTGGGGCTCAGTGGTGGGGAGCCAGCCCCACTCCCCAGGCAAGCCACTTGTGGCCCTGTTCCACACCTCACCGGAGCCCTGCAGCTGCACATTGTGGCCCTGGGACCCAAGCCCCACCTGGCTGGGCAGCAGCCCCAGCCGCAGCTCTGCCCTGTCCCACCCAACTCCTGGCCTCCCTCCCTATGGGAGCTTCAATTTCCCGCCCCCTGCCCCCACTTAGCTTTCAGAGCTGCTCTTCAGGCTGCCTGGCAGCCGTGAGCGTGTACATGCACGTGGTACCCCCTGTCTTACCGCCCTCCTCCTGCTTCCTCCAACCCCTTGCAGGCTGGAACTCTGCCAGCCTGCAGGGAGCTGTTTGCAAAAGAGGAAAATCCATGCATTTCTCTTTTAAAATGAAAAGTCTGCATTTTTCTCAGGTAAAGGGGAAAATCCATGGTTTTTTCCATTTTTCCATGGGTAACAGAAAACCCATATCCTTGGTAATTATTATAAAACTTGTATTGATATAGTACTTAGAGGTCCCAATTAAAGCTTGGGTTCATTTTGCTAGGCACAGTGTATGTAACATGCCTTCAAAGAGGAGACTGTAGTGGTGCTAAAGATTCTTC